CTCTAGAGTGCTGGGTTTAAAGGTGTGTGCCACCACTGCCTGGCTGAGATCTTATAATTAAATTTTAAAAAAGTCAGTATTGTAATGAAATATTGTATTTGGGAGTGGAAAATCGGTTTTAATACAAAGTATAGACTATAATCTTGTTCAGGTGAAAACAAGTTAGTTAAGGTCACAGCTAGGGGGTGATCACATTTCTCATGTGGACAGACCCCTGTGTTATACTCATTGAATATATGATCACAGAAGCATGCATGTCTTTGTACGTAATGTTTTCTTTTGTTTGTTTTTGAGATAGTCTCATGCTGTAGTCCAGGCTGGTCTAGAATTCACTAAACTAGCTTTGAACTCCTGATCCTTCTTCCTCATTCCCACAAGTGCTGGAATTACTAGAGTGAACCACCACGGAAGGCTTTGCACACAGTTTTGTCTCCTTCTGTGGTGTATCACATCTAGCATGGTTTTGGTCCCTCTAATATATTCTATGGCAGGAGATACAATAATGAAGATTAATTTGATCCCTTTCCTAATGGGTGGGGGAACACATACTCAATAAAGCCAGAGAAATGCTGTGGTTCTAACTGGGAGGGTAGAGGGAGAAGCACAGGGCGTTTTGCATAGACAGAAGGTATACCCAATCTAAAAGGTCAGTACAGTTCCACAGAAGAGGATGGCTTTGCAGCTGAGACCGAAAGAATTACCAGTTAACTTTGGGGTGGGAGAGGTGGTTCAGCAGCTAAAAAGCCCTGGCTGCTCATGCAGAGGTTCCAGCACCAACATGGTGGCTCACAACCATCTATAACTGTAGTTCCAGGAGCTCTGGTGCAATATTCTTGCCTCTGTGGGTGCTAGGGTACATGTGTATGATACACACACATAAATTTGGGTAAAACACTAATACGAATAAATAAATCCAAAACCTTTTTTAAAGACTTAACTATGATTGGAGAAAGGAATGCTTAGATCTTAGCAGGAACACCGTGTCCTTAGCACCTGTGACAAGGTGGTGACAATCAAGAAACCCAAAGGAACTCTGTGTGATTAGAGAGGTCACTGAGCTAGGAGCGGCAGCAGCTGTGTCAGGGACTTTGTCCTTCACAGTGATATTTTTGTACTTTACCCAAAGGGCAGTGGAAGGTCATTGGGAGCTTTTGAAGTCAGGAGTGTAGGGTGTGGTGACGCATTCAGATTAGTGTTGGAAAATCGCTACAGGCCCTCCCTCCCTCCTTCTGGAAAGCATTGTTGAATTCTAGGTAGACATTAGTGGGGAAAGGTTTTCTGCAGCTATGCAAGACAAGGCAAGAGGTGGTGATTTGGATTAGGGCCTTAGGACTGGTGATGGACAGGAATTAAAGTAAATTTGTATTTTGAAGCTTGAACTGTTAGTGAGAAATAGATTTGATATGGGGAAAGAGAGGGAGGCTTGGAGAGAGGAGAGAGAGGATGAATATCAAGGCTAAATACTAAATTTCTGGGTTGAATTGGGTATGTTTAAAAGTCTTTGGTTTTTGCTTGTAGGTAATGTGTAGTGTGTGAACCCATAGTTTGTGGAAGTGTGTGCACATGTGTGCAAGTTCATGGAAGCCAGAGGTTGGTGTTAAGGGACTTCCTTGATTATTCTCCTCCTTGAATTTTACGCATATAGGCAGGATCTCTCACTTGAGCCCAGAGCTTCCCGACTGTGCTAGTCCAGCTGGCCAGTTTGCTCCAGGATCCTGCATCTGCCTCCTACATGCTAGGACTACAGGTGGACCACTGGGCCCACCAGGCATCTGGATAGAAGCTGAGGCTCTGACCTCTGGTTCCCATATTTTTATGACAGGCCCTTTACCCATTGAGCCATCTCCCAAATGGCCTTTGTATTGACATTTTAAGGAATGCTGGAAAGGACCAGATTTAAATGGAAGATCAGGAGCTTATGTGAAGGTTTTTTCTGTGTGGGTCTTTGATTTTTTCACTCAAACTCTCACTCCACAAAAATTCTTCTGAAAACTGCCTTTTTGCACACCACAGGAGGGACACACTGTGTCACTTGGCTTTTTTCAGTTCCTACTATTTTGTAGTTACCTGTGTGCTTGTCTGCTCCCTCATTAGACTGGGATTCCTTTATCAGGAAGGACTTTGCTGCTCTTGGAAAAGGGATACATTTTCCCTCAAGTAGTTTCCACTGAGCTAAAGGCTTCTGCTTTCTTAGCTCTGGATAAAGCTGGTCTGCTTCTCTATTGCAGACCATCTTTCTCGTGAGGGTAAGGCAGAGCTTTCCATTTCTGCCTCTTCTCCTTTTGTCTTTGCACACTTCATAGTTGTAGTGTTGGGATTCAGAGGCGGGAATAGATGTTCTGTAGGAATGGCTGACTTGAACACGAGCCTGACTCTGAGCAGATAAGGTTTAGAGTGTGGACTGCATGGCAGGTTTACCTGGCTGCTGTCAGAAAATGTCTGTGGGAAGCCCATTTTGCCTGTAGTTGCTGCAGATCTGTTTCTTTTACTCCCAGTGATCAAAACAAAGATCAAGGGACGAGAATATGCTGCCTGTTGTTTGTCCCTGCAGGCTGAAGTAGGGTAGGTGGCAGAGTGACACAAACTGTCTGTCTTTGTAGCTGCTCTGGGAAGGACTGAAGGAAAAACTCTTTGGTGTCTCACTATCCCCACTCTTAGCCCTTTTATTTATTAACTCCGAGCTTCTGAACAGTACCTTTCCTACACCATTGAGTTGCTCATAATTTAACACAGTTATATTAGCAACACCATTGAGTGGCTCATAATTTAACACAATTATATTAGCAACATTTTTACTTTATAGTAAAAGAAATAGTCACCATTTTTCTAAGGCTATTTACATGCTGTTTTGTTTTTTTTGTTTTGTTTTGTTTTGGTTTGGTTTTTCGAGACAGGGTTTCTCTGTGGCTTTGGAGCCTGCCCTGGAACTAGCTCTGTAGACCAGGCTGGTCTCGAACTCACAGAGATCTGCCTGCCTCTGCCTCCCGAGTGCTGGGATTAAAGGCGTGCGCCACCATGGCCCGGCCTTATATTCTGTTTTTGAATGTTGGCTACTGTTGTACAAAACCTGGGTTTCAGGGAAAGAAAGAGGATTGACTAGATGAGAGAGTGCCTTTGTGTGCTTGTTTCCTAAAGGAGGTGGGTTTATCTTAGAGATGGACCTTTCTACTTTCTTCCTGCTGCTGTTTCTTCTCCTGCCTCCATCCCTCTCTTTCTTCTGCTCTTTCTCCTCTTCCCCCTCCTCTTTCCTCCTCCTTTTTCTTATCTTCTCTCGCTTCCCTGTTCTCCTTCCCACCCTTCTCTAAAGCTTGAGCGCTCAAGACAGTAAAACCTAGTGGAAAGTTTTACTAGGAACTCACAGACTCAAACAAGAAAAAAAAGTTTTTAATTTGGGCTTTATTTTGAAATTCCACATTGAAAGTAATTGCCAGTCATGGTGGCTCATACCTCTAATCCCAGCATTTGGGAGGGAGGCAGGAACAGTCAGATCTCTGTGAGTTTGAGGTCAGCCTGGTCTACATATTGAGTTCCAGGATAGCCAGGACTACATAGAAAGACCTTGTCTCTAAAAAAAAAAAAAAAAAAAAAAAAGTCCATGGGGATTTTGTGTTTGTTTTTCTGAGAGACAGCAACACTAGCTCTGGTTGGCATGGAACTCACTGTGTAGACCAGGCTGGCCTTGAACTCGCAGAGATCCTCCTGCTTCTGACTTCCCAAGCTCTGGGTTTAATCCACGTGCTACCATGTTCTGCGTTTTGTTTTGTTTTGTTGAATTATTTAAAATATAGTCTGGAGTAATCGTAATAGTCATAGTCATACCCATGCTATACTATCATGTCTTGATTTAATATTTTCATTTACATATCCTGCCTAATATTGCTGCATGGGCTTGTTTTCAAATTGGAGTATGCTTGCATGCTAGGAAAAGTGTCATTGGCCCTACCATTAGAAGAGGCATCATTAGCCTCTGGCCAGCCTTTACAACTATACACCTGAGGTCACCATCAAGAGCAGATAAAGATCTGGGGAAATACACACACACTGCTTGTCCTATGTATTTCAATTTTTTTTTTTATGCATGGGCAGCCTTGCATAAGAACTTGTCCATATTGGGTTTCATAGTCTAAGTTGATGAGGAGGACTGAGCAGGTCTCTTCCTCAAAAGGGCACCAGATCTCATTACAGATGGTTGTGAGCCACCATGTGGTTGCTAGGAATTGAATTCAGGACCTTTGGAAGGGCAGGCAGTGCTTTTAACCACTGAACCATCTCTCCAGCCTATTTCAAAGATATACTTATAAATATATTCTTTTTTTTTTTTTTTTTTTTTTTTTTTTTTTGTCCTGAGACAGGTTTCTCTGTGAAAAAGACCTGCTGTCCTGGAACTTACTGTGTAGATCAGGTTGTTCTTGAACTCACAGAGATCCACCTGCCCCTGCCTCCTGAGTGCTGGGATTAAAGACGTGATCCACCACTGCCCAGCAGTATATTCTTTTATTAACATATTTTTATTCTTTGAGAATTTCTTATATTATAAAATGTATTTTGATCTTATCTCTCCCGCCCTCCCCCCATAGAGTCCACCAAGTGCTGCCCATATTTATATTGGTGTGGGTCCGTTGACCTACCAGGGACATAGTCTCCCTCCCCTTGTAGCCACCGACTGCCGACAGCTCCTCAGCTAGGGTTGAGGCCCTGTGTAAACACTTTTTCCTTCCGAGGACAAATACTTAGTTGCTGTAATGGGGCCCATATGTATGAGTATAATTATCAAGGAAAACACACAGCTTGTGCTTCCTTCTTAGATATTATTTCAGCCATTTCAGTGTTGTGTGTAAGCATGGCTGTACTTAGTGATCGTCAGATAAGTATTCTTTGGGAAAAGCCATACCTCAAGGTACATTGTGTTTCGTTTGCTTCCCTTGGTACAATGGTCTTCTGATAGGGCCCTGTTCTCTAGGAAAGCCGTTCTGATTGTAGAAACTGCTGCTTTGTTTCAGGTCGGTCTTCTCTCTTTCCCTTTGAAGACGCCTTCTTGGATGACAGCCATGGCGATCAGGCTTTATCCTCTGGCTTAAGTTCTCCCACTCGATGTCAAAATGGGGAGCGAGTGGAACGCTACTCTAGGAAGGTGTTTGTTGGAGGCCTTCCTCCTGACATCGATGAAGGTACCGTATGCGCTCATTAAGAACTTTGCAAGAGCTGACTTCTCTGCATTGTGTTCAGACATACACTGAATGTGTAAATTAAACGGTGACAAAGCTAACTTAAAAAACTTCTCTAGTTCTCCTAGACTTTGGGAGTGCCATGGAAATCTTCCTAGCACTGGCTTGCTTGGTGCAGCTCTAATACTAATCTAAATAAGTCATGGTTTCTTTAGCCCTTTCATGATGTGTGTGCGTATGGGTGCTAAAAAAGCTTTAGACTTACAACATTAAAGTTGCAGATGGCCACAACCTCTTTTTCCTCTAACTGTCCTCATGTCTGTATTAATACTTTCAGTCAATTAGATTTTCTATAGGTTAAATTTCTTACAGTTGCTGATGGAATGACCGCCTCCACCCAAGGAGTTACAAAGTCACAATCTTCTCCTTCCAGTCAGAAGTCAAAAAAGAGATAAAATAATTGAGCTAGCAGTGGTGTCTCCCTTTGCAGGGTTTACTGCTGTAGAGATACTTTAGAAAAGCTCTAAAGAGAAAATAAATGCAAAAGGGGATCCCTCAAAACATTTTTTACATAAAAGATATGTTTTATGTTTCTTGTGATTGTAGGTTTTTTTTTTTTCCACTTTGCTAAGTCCTTTCTTTGTTTTATAGATGAGATCACTGCCAGCTTTCGCAGATTCGGACCTCTCGTGGTAGACTGGCCTCATAAAGCAGAGAGCAAGTCATACTTCCCTCCTAAAGGTAATGGACTCAAGATGTCACCCGGTCTCTCAGCGGCCAGCCCCGTAGAAGGCATTCTTACAAGTCTTGAAGTTGATCCCTTGTCCTTAAGTAAAATAACACTGGTATCATTGTGTGTGAATTTCACTTGGAGAGGCTTCCCCAGGAGTGCACTGTGTTTGATGACCCTGGCTTTATTAGCAGTGAGATTTTATAATTCCATTATAGAGGAGTTTTTTGCTAAGTTCATTGTTTCATAAGGGGGGAAAACTCTGGGGTTTTGAGGAATGTCAGCAATGGTAATATTTAAAAGTTAGTTTTTATTTGCATCCCTATAGCCATGTGGGTTTTTTAAACTTTTAAACAAATCTTACAATCCAAGAACACAGGAAAGCTAGTGGCTAAAGAATGACTTTGTGTGGTGTGTCCATTACCCATAGCTGTCTGGTGAGAGGTGGAGAACTAACTGTCAGAAGATCCTTCACAGCTTCTTCCTTCTCTGAACCTGTGAGGTGTTCTCCCACTAATCTCCAAGGGACACAATGTCCTGCTTCTCACTCAGCCTTTGTTGTTTCTGTGGAGCCAGGGAATGTCTGTGCTGATGCTCATGTTCAGCGTGCTCTTTGAATCATGGAATAGAGGACTTGGGTGTAAAGAGGATGTGTTTCTCTTTCCTCTGTTATCATCTACAGCCTGTGTTTTGAGGATGCCATTCATCTTGGAAAATGACTCGTGGTCTATTACTGTGCGACATTGCCCATCACGAGATGATGAAGTCAGCATCCTTATCTTTCCTGTACCCTGTGCAGGAACCAAACTCCAGCTTAAGCTAGGGAAGGCCGCTGGCTTCCTGTTACACTCAGTTCATTAGGTTTCTTTCTCATTCATCTTTTTCTCCTCTGTAACCCATGAAAGAAAGTTACCACTAGAGAGTTGCTTGTTGCTTTTAATGTCTTCTGTTAATTTGAGTGGTTTTTTTTTTGGGGGGGGGGTTGTTGTTGTCATTAAGATGGGGCCTACTTCACATTGTATTCCAGGCTGGCAGTAAGCTCAGGATGTTCTCGTCCCAGCCTCTCAAGTGCTAAAGTTACAGACATTTTTACAGTTTGAAGTTAAGCTTCCGTTCACCAGAAAAGATAAAAATCATTATTTAAATTATTTCAGTGGAAGAATGTGTTCCCCCACCCTGTGACACATGAACTAGGCTCTTTACAACTGTGAATGTACAGGTATGGCTGCACATTCCATGGCCTAGCGTTTTATTAGTGAGTGAATGTGTTCGTCACAGTGTAGTACATGTCATACATTTTAAAAAATGACCCACGTGAAAGGTATTTCTAAGAGTGATGATTGTGCCGGATGGTGGTGGCGCACGCCTTTAATCCCAGTGCTTGGAAGGCAGAGGCACGCAGATTGTCTGTGAGTTCAAGACCAGCCTGGTCTGCAGAGCAAGTTCCAGGACAGGTTCCAAAGCTACAGAGAAACCCTGTCTCGGAAATCAAAAAAAAAAAAAAAAAAAAAAAAAAAAAAAAAAAAAAAAAAGAATGATGGTTGTGAAAACAGTTCTACTGAGATCTGGCATAAAGTTGTCAGGTGACCACTGGAAAAATAAAAGGATACTAAAGATGTATGTGGTCTTGTCCATCTAATCATCCCAGAAGTATGTCTGTGAGAGATAATCATGTGGATATTTTGCTGAATATCCTCCTTATTAATGTGTAGGCTGGCATGAAATTTTAAATTTTACATATGTGCATTACTATATTATGTAAGCTGTTTTATATATACATTTCCCCCCAACAATACTAGCAACTTTCTCTAACAGATGTACATTATTGTTAGTGAGCATAGTATTTATTCAAGTCTGTTGATGGTCTTTAAATTGCTGCTCATAAATTATTCTTCTGTGAGTATTCTCATGTTTTCATATTTTTTATTTTTATTTTTTTTCCTTCTGTATTTTCCTTGCATGGAGAGAGGTGCATGGGATTGAAGCCTGGGCCTTTTGTACCTTGGGCAATGGCCCTGACTTACAGCTTAATGGTTACCTCCTAGGGAGAATTTCTGTTCTCATCGTTAGTAACTTGGTTTACAAAACTCAGTCTTGTTGAGAGTTAGGGAAATTATTCTTTTTTAAATTTTGCCAATTTTATGGTTAAAAATAACACTTTGGGATCATTTTATTCCTCTTTCATATCACATTGATTTTCTTATTTTATGAAATGTATACTTTTCCCAGTATTTGGGTTTTTTGTAAAAATGTCTTTTATATTAATGATTTTTTATTTTTATTTATTTATTTGGTTTTTTGAGACAGAGTTTCTCAGTAGTTATGGAGCCAGTCCTGGAACCCTTATAGATGAGGCTGGCCTCGAATTCACAGAGATCTGCCTGCCTCCTGAGTGCTGGGATTAAAGACGTGGGCCACCACCGCCCAGAGATTTTTATTTTTTTAATGGTCTGAAGTAGCCCAGTTTGGACTTGAACTTACTCTGTAACTGAGGATAACCTTTAACTACAGACACGAACTACTCACTAAATTTGGTCAAATTCAGGGTTCAGTAGGTTTTTTTCAAAGGGACTTAAAAATACTAATGTAACCAGGCATGGTGACACAGGCCTTTAATCCCAGCTCCTGGGAGACAGAGGCAAGTGGATCTCTGTGAGTTTGAGGATTCAAAGGAGAAAATTCTTGTGCTTATAACAGCTCCTGCATGGCGTTATAAATGATGATATTTCTATTAAACTGTAGGCTAATTTGTAATTCCATACCAAGGGAGTAAATTACCCTAGGCATCCAGAAGAGGAATCGCTGTGGGCTGTGTGAAATTCTCACCCCCGGGGATAGGAAAGAGAAGAAAGGCAGAAAATGCAAGGGGCAATATACATATTATTTAGGTTGTCTGATGTTTTGTTCATAATCTTATTTAATCATCCCAGTTTTTCAGTGTAGGCACCTGTCTTACTGTTCCATTGCTGTGTGGGGATAACACCATGGCCAGGGCACCTATAAAAGAAAGCATTTGACTAGGGGCTTGCGTATAGTTTCAGAGGATCTGTTGTCCTCGTGGTGGGGAGCATACAGGCAGGCAGGTAGGCACGGCGCTAGAGTGGAGCTACATTGGGGAGGGAGATGTCTGAGACTTGGTCTGGCTTTGAACTCTACATATATCTGAAGATGACTTGAACTCCTTAGGTACTAGGTTATAGGTATGTGCCAGCATACTTGCCTATGAGCCCAAAGTTCTTAACTGTGCTGTATTCGTCTCACCTAGAAATAAGGATATCACAGAGGCAGGCATGTTCAGGATGGTCTTGAAGGATGAGAAAAGTCAAAGCCTTAATCGTATTGAGCAGAGTAACTGGTGATCTCATATATGGACTATAGACAAACCACCTGTGTGGAATTCCTGTTCCACCCCTTGATGGACAATGATTCATCTTCCTAAATTTCATCCAAAAATGAGGATGGTGATTACTGTTTGTATTCAGGCATCTGCACTGGCCTGCCCTTCAGGTCTTGACAGGATGCGTCCTCAGCTGCAGTCAGTAAGGGCACCTGTGCATGTTCTCTTTTAAAGGGTGGGCCTCCCCCACCTCCTGTCTCTGTCTCTGTCTCTGTCTCTCTCTCTCCTTCTGTGCCTGTCTCTGACTCTGACTCTCTTCCTCGCTCCTCTTCTGCCACTTCTGTCCCCAGAGACTGGTCTTTCCCCCAATAAAAAGCCTGTCCACCTGAGCTCTGTCACATGATGGCTTTCTCTCATGTGCCGCTTTTTTAAAAAAGTACAATTATGCCTTCATGTGGTCTCTTATGCTTAAATAAAAAATTGTACATAAAATACTTTCCATAGTACCCAGGTATCAGTGAGGGTTCATTTGTTTGAGCAGAGAATTGGTTTTCATGGTTATTTTGTTTTTTTGTTTTGTTTTAGTTTTTTGAGACAGGGTTTCTCTGTGTAGCCTGGCTGTTCTGGGACAATCTCTGTAGACTAGGCTGTCCTTAAACTCACAAAGATCTGCCTACCTCTGCTTCCCGAGTGCTGGAATTAAAGGCGTGCACTACCATCACCTGGCTTCATGATTAGTTTTATAGGGAAATTAAGAAGACTTAGGATACTAGCAGTGAGATATTACAAGAATAGATGGAGAAAGAAATCTCTGGTTCTGGTGATGGAGTGGTCATGGTACTTAAACAGCGGGGTCTGTTAAAATTCCTTTCACTAAAAGCTAGACTGATGGCATTATTGATCAGAGAGAAGACCAAGTTGGTGTGTTGATGATTTGATGTATAGTTGGTCTGTCCTTTGATGTGACCTGAGAAGAGATTCCTAATGGTCATTTGTTTTATAGTCGGGTCTTTGGGAGCAGAGACAGTCAGAGATACATGCGTCCTGAGTCACCTTTTTGAGAAGAGAGAGGAAAATGAACAAACGAGTAAATTTTATAGTAACAGTTACTAAGATCATGAAGTAGAGATCGCTGTGGCCTTCTTGTCAAATACCTGGTATTATAAACAATACTCAATAAGTGTGATGGAGCCAGTAGAACCAGAACAAAACCGTGGTCTTCACTGAGCAGCTGTTACTTTATGAGCAGTAAAATGATAGTGCCTCCTCAGCAGAACTTACCATCAGTATCATTTTGTGTCCTAGTAGGCTTTATTCGTGTGTGTGTGTGTATGTTATGGTATGTATGTATGTATATGTGTATGTATATAGGGCTGGGAGTATAACAACAGCTGGGATGCAGTCTTGTGTTCACATTTCTGTCTCTTCTCCCCACAAGTGTCTAATGACTTTCGTTGGCTGCCTCACCTATTCCATGCCCTAATTTATTTGCTTGCTGGCAATTTAGACCATTAGTAATAACACTTATGTTCATGTATTCTTGCTTGTGTCCTTTTCTTTCAAGTTGTTTTCTTTAGGCCAAATTAGAAGCTACTTAACGAGAGATGAAAATCTTAATGACTCCGGATTTGATGTCACGCGGCTTCCAAAAGCAATCTCTTTGTGACGTTTATG